TAATGCATTAAAGTGTTATTATGAGGGTAAGACTTGGGAGTTGGGAGAAGTTAATAAATGCTAAGATTTTTTTTTTTTTAAATCAAAAAATTAAGAAATTTAGATTGGGAAATTGAAACTCCCACAAGACTTGGGGTTAAAAATCCCATTTTACTTAATATATAGTATAGATAAAATTATAAATTTTGATTTTATGATCAATCATAATAATTTTAAAGTGTTGATATAGCTTATATGCTTATCTGTTGAAATGGGGATACAGCTGGTATGCTTATCTGTTGAGATGCTGATATAGCTAGTATGCATATCTATTGTAAAATGAGAAACGTTTAATATGAGTCACTGTCTCATGTAAGTTGTTGGCCAGGTTCTGAGCCGTTGTTGTGAATTGTCAACATGATAAGGAATGGAAAATGAAATGAAACATGAACATAGTGGTCATGTAATGGTAATGGATTAAGAATTGATTTATGGGAATTAAACATTTATCAATTGCTAATGTCTTAGTTACTACTCATACTGTGTTTAGCATATCTCTACTGGGCATTCGCTCGCTCTATATGGGACATTATTTTTCAGGTACAGGTAGCATGCCACCTCCAAGGGCATAGCTTGGGTAATGATGAGAGTTGAAGACTCTTTTTTTGTTTATTTTGGTTGTTTACATGTATATCAAGCCAAGGGCTTATTTTGTATAGAGTTAATACTCTTCTTTTGTGTAACCAAGTGTTGACTTGGAAAGCTGTAAGCCCATAGGGCATTTGCTTTTGTTGTTAACATGTAATACTGTTGTATGAACTACTCTGATGAATAGAAATGGTTGGTTTCTTTTATATCAATGCATGTCTAAAGTGATGGGTTTTATGTATTATTTTGAGGGCGTTACAATTATGTTGTTGCATTTTCTTTCTGTCAAATTCCATTCATGTGGGGGATTGTTGGAAAATTTCGATTATGTTATTTTGGGTCAACTTTGAGCACAAAATGGAGTGGGGTCCACACATCTTTTGGGGTGGGTCTGATGATGTAACCTGTTCCTTGTCGCATGACAAGTCACACGGTGAAGACGGTGCGTCAAAACCATTTATGAGTGAATGGGAACTTGATATCGTTTTCGGGTTCGCAGAATGGATTATTAAAGAAGTAAATATAGTTTTTCTTGAAGTAGGTTGTCCCACATCGAAACTTTAAGAGAGTTTGTGTATGTATATAAGCTCAAGATTGCAACACTTGGGTTAGGCCCCAAGGGGCACCCCAAGTTTGTAGAAAGGTGGAGTTATGGACAATGTGAACCTTAGCCCAAACCACCACACGCGCACGCCGCCGCCGCCGCCGTCCGTCTGTCCGTCCGGTCGAGCCGAACTGTGCTGGGTGCGGGTGTGAGTTGTGGGTCGGGTCGGGTCGGGTCGGGTTGATTCTAACATTAATTTTTTGGACAAAATTTATTTGAATTTCTAAATGAAAATAAATTCAAATTTTGTGTCAAAAATTGAATTTATTTTTCTGTCCATATGTTATCCGTTTTTCAGTCTATTTTTTCAGCAAAGTTCAACAGGTTCAAACTGTTCTAAACAGATTGAATAATTGCCCAGCAGTTTTAGATAGTTTTTGAAACTGCCAATAGATAAAAAATTGCCAGCAAATCTGTTTGAATTTTGAATTATATCTTTTCAAGCAGTTTCATACCTGTTCGGTTCTAGACAGCACCTGTTCGGACAGATTTGTACGCCTATAAATACCAGCCCTATTCCAGTAGTTTGCACATTTGAAAATAAACTGAAATTTTCATTTTGCTATCCTGTATTGTTCCTTTGCATAAATTCTCTTCATATTAATTTTTAGGAAGAGAGAATATAACTTAAGGTTTTTGTTCGTTGTACAAATTATTTGGAATGCTACTACAATTTGTGAAAATCATTGTATCTTGGGAGATAGATGCCATTTATCCGTAAGTTCCGTAGCGAGGCGAATCTGTCTTAAGGACAGAGTTTCACACACTCGACTCGATCTTTTTATTATTCATTCGGTTTGGCAAAATAAATTTTGTCAGTCATTTATTTTATTTGTTTGATTTGGTTTCGATTTATTTATTTTACACAAAAGATTGTTCCAACAAGTGTTACAAATGAAATTAAAAAGAGAGTTCCGTATTTTTTGATAAACTACAGGGTATCAAACTGTTATTTATCCTAAATTTATTCATATGTTGAAAAATTAAAATGTGAGTATTGATTTTAACTTTAACTTTAGATGCAAATCGATACTATGCCTTAATATAGATTAGAAAACGAAGATAGTATGCCTTAATCGATACTATGCCTTAATATAGAAAACGAAGATAGTATAGATTAGATTCATATATAGGAAAATTATCTAATGTGTCAAGAATTTCAGGATAGCCATATGCTTGTTCAATTATTAGTGGCATTGTTAAGTTGTTAATGGCATCAAGTTGTTCTTATTTTTTTTCTTCCAAAATGATTGCATGACCTTATAATTGGGTGACTACATACACTGCTGGAAATTGGACTTTTAGTGGCATTTAAAAAATGCCGCTATATCTATAAAAAACTCCGCTAATTCCTTTTGTGGCGTTTAGTACTAAACGTCGAAGCTGCGGCCATCGCTGTAGCTTTGCGACGTTTTAAAAACGTCGTGATATTAGTATAGGAGGCGTTTTAAAAAACACAGCCAAATGTCCCACTATACACACGCTGATGTCACCAACGATATTTAGCGACGTTTTTGAAATGCCGTCGTATCTGTTTTAAAAATATGACCGTTACTTATGAGGGTTTAAGAGGCGTTTGTTGAAACGCCGTCATATCTTCTTTTTTTTTTAAATTGTGCTAATTTTATTTGATTAAATTAAAAAGAATACCTGTAAGAAAATATTGAATTTGGTTTCTCATTCAATTAATAAAAAAATACCTGTAATAAAACTAACATACAGAATATTAACTCTCATTCAAATACCTGTAATAAAACTAACAGATAAAATAATAACTCTCATTCAAATAACAAATGAAGCATTAATTCAGTTTCTCATTCAATTAATATCCAATCACCATTACCCACAAAATAACATATGCAAATCCAAAAATCATGTTTTAACATTGACCACAAACTAACATATATCCAAAAATCATGTTTTAGCATAGAAGCTGTAGTCGTCACTGGTCTACATGCCTGCATTAGAACATAAACTACAATCAGATTCACCAAAATAAACACAAATTGAAAAAAAAAAAAATCAATGCAATTTTGCAAAAATAAGCCTACTATGAACTTCAGCATACACAGCCCATCATTTGTCCAAAGCTCTAGGGGAAAATTATAGAATTTCATGGGAATGTGCACAAAAGAGAATTCACTCTTAGTCAAATGCATGTACAATTGCCATATTCTCACTAAAATTAGTCTACTTCCAAAATAAAATGGCCCAATTTCGAGAATTCTCCCCATATCTTCTTCATTTTCAATTTGAATATAAAGAAGCCATTGATTCAGCTTAAAGCAGTGTAGAGAGGCCACTTCATGCGACTGAAACTCGCACCACAGTGCTCAGTGCGGAAAGCACTAGCCATCACTCTAGGTCACGACCTCTATACTTCGCCATTAGGACCAAATAAAGCTATTCTTACAAATGAAATAGACATAGTCACAAACAAAGAACTAGGAAGTATCACAGCAACCAGAAAACTAGTCTGCATCAATTACCCATCCTAACAGTAATTCAATCAAACATCTCATAAGTTTCCCTAATATGGAGTACAAGTATATAAAACAAGCGTTGAAATTGTGAATGCAAACCGACCAATTTATCAAAATTGCATCAACCAAAATCTTAACAAATCATCAGGAAAATTATATTATCTATTCTATTATAGAAAGCACACACCTTTCTTGGTGTGAACTATCACACTATTTCAAATTTTTATAATTTAAAAAAAAAAATTACATCTAAATTGTTGATTTTCACAGCACACTCTGGTGTGCAAACCATCTACTCACTTCCAAACTTACCCCAAACATAAAATTCAGACCCAGTTGAGCAATCTTTTGTGTTTGTGTGTGTGGAAGTCCAGTTGAACAATTGGAATCAAATCACTATCATTCATCAAGGATAATTAGAATTCAAATCATCCAGGCATTCAACTCTTCAGATCAGATAAATACAAACTTTGACTGGACAAAAAGAAAATCAAAGATCAAGCACTACTCAGAAAATTCACAGGGACAAACCAGAGAGTTGGCTTAATTGACTGTACAAATTCTATCATGTATATAAGCTCCCCAGGTGCAGCAGAACAAATTCTATTGTTCATTTGACCAAAGAATGGCAAGATAAAGTTTTGGAATGACAATTAGAGGAAAGAATCCCCATGTTCCCTCTATCTATACAGTTCAGTTCATTCCCTCCTTTGTGATGGATTTTTGTCATTTCTTGTCAAAATAATAACAATTATACAGAATATATGATTCAGCTTAATGACTATTTGGCCAACTGTTTCTAGGAAGATTAAATAACTTAGAACCATTCTAATGCACATTGTAGTAGAAAAGTTCAGATCCATTTCACCAAAAGTGCTAATAAAACGTGCTGTCTCAAGAAGTACAGAATTTTTAAGAAACTAATAAAAGTGGAGATAAAAGAATTGCCAGAACTGCCCAACCAATTATTCTGAAAGACCTAGAAATATGACATACTCAAGACAAAACTACAAATTAACACTGATAAATTATAATGAGAAAGGTAATAAACAAAGACATACTGGACACTCAAGACAATAAAACTTGTGAGAAAAAGTTAAAAGAACAAAAAAGAGACTCAAATTAGAAGAAGAAAAAAAAAAAATTACACCATCCATTGTCAGACCAGTAGTATTAACACCTGAATGGAGACCCATCAATATAGTTTACTCCACTGAAAAACATTAATGGAATGTAGACGTGCTTCAGCACAACAAAAGGATAAAGATTAGATGACAATCCTTTCAAAGAATCAAATAATGCATCAGTACTAGGTAAGCACATCTAGTATTAACCAAAATTTCTTAGCAGCACTTTCTAGCTGTAATTAACAATCGATGTTGACGTCATATTACAAATATGAGCTGTAATTAAGAATCAATTTTCAAACTATTGTCAACAAATCCATAAGACAGTTCAACTAACCTTATGATGATGGATTGATTCACTTCATCTGCATGATCCATGATAAGAGCAGAGCCAGCAAAACAAATTCTTTAGTAGCAAAGTATAAATAGATGAATATGAGCCCTGTTTTTTTCTTCACAATCCCTGCAAGTACTATTTAAATTACCTCTCATCATTTCATTATAGGCAATATCTGCTATAGCAAAAACATGAGGATTGTCAAAAAGCTTCTCCTTGTAAGCTGTGATAAAATCATTTCCAAAACAATGGACATCTTTGAAGGGATTGATTGCTATTAAAACAAGTCCTGCTTTACTCTACAGGAAACAAGCACAAACATAGGTCAAATGAGAGGAAAAGGGAAACTCAATTTGATGGGAGGGAAATTAAGTATCACAATCATGCATACATAAATAATATCATGACAATATCTATACTGAAGGTTGTGAAGAACTGATGGCTCGTTCAAATAACGAAGCTGCTGTTCTACAGCTTCCCTTTCACAATGCTAAAATCACGACCCAAATATATTCATGTAAATACATGAACCAAAAAAAAAAATCACAGAATAGGAAAGTACACAAAACAAAATCAAATAGTGAATACATTAACAAAGATTGTCAATTTTCCATCTCCAAAAATACCCAAATTTAGTCACTAGTCACAACAGTAACAACCAAAACCCTAATTTCAGAACCAACAATGCCTTACAAATCAAATGAACATAAACCACGAACTAGTGATATTAGTACTTTTACCTTGTTAGTTCTTCTTCTTCTTCTTCTTCTTCTTCTTCTTCTCTTTCTTTGAAAGGTGAACCTATATTTAATAAGAGCAAGTATTGTAATTAATAAGATATGTTATTTGTCAAAAAAGCTTTGATTAAATGATTGCTCACCTCTTGGGATGAAAATGCATGAGATTGTTGTTGATGTGACATTGGCCGAACAGTGGGATGACTACTAAGTGAATCCACAATGTATCATTCAATAAGAGACTTAAGTTGTATATTAGCTCTAGGCATTTTAAAGTAATAACTAGTAAAAATAATTAAAATACCTACTGCCTATGTAATAGGTTTGATGGTGCAACAACTGGATCAACGGGCACGCATGCAGCTTGCAATTGAGATTTCAAAAACTGAATTCGTAACTGAAAATCTGTGCGTATAGCTTGAATTTGTTTCTCCATTACTTCATTCATCTTCGACTCGAACTGCATTTGATACCATTGAAGTTGCTCTTGAACTTGTTCCTGAACTTGAGTTTGGAAGAGACGATTCTGCTCTTGTGACCGCCTATATCCATCTCCAAAAACATCAGTGGGTGACGGTCCCAATCCAAACGTCCGAACACGGCCAGGTCGCTCTGGGCCCATAACTTGTGTGAAGATTTGCTCCTGTAGTGCCGCAGGATCAGTAGAAGATCCCTCCATACGCTCTACTAACTCATTCATTTGAGTCTGCAAGTTTGAATTCAATAATTAGCCTCCAATATAAATATAAATCATATTAAAAGTCCAAAGATAAAGTAGTATCACATACCATAATCTCATTAACTGAATCACTATTTGACGTCCCATCTTTCATGTATGCGGCCATCCACACCTGTGACCGACTAGCAGGAACCCCATTGTTCTTTTTTGTCTCCTATAAATGAAAGACAACCAAAATCTTAAGGTAAATAAGAAAATTAAATAATTAAGCAATTAAATATGTGAACAAGTTAAGTAAATAAAATAAACAACTAAGCAAATTAACTCATTGAACACTAAACACTTGGGACAAATTAACTCATTGACCATTGTCACAGTGGAGGGAGAAAAAAAGTAAGACAAAAAATAATATAAAGCCAAAATATAAAAACTTCAGGGTGATGGAACTAGGCTTGCAGAAAAATATAGCTTGAAAATTGTGGAAAACATAGAAGGATCAAACAAATAAAGTTATCTGTACAATAAGAATATGCCCTCCATAATAGCAACAACCACTATGGTGTGTTATGATATTACCATTTATGACTCATTCTCAGTCTAACAAGTGATTGCCAATTCTCAAATTATTGGATTAATAATTCCTAAAATATAAACCTGGTAGATTAAAACAGATTCGAATAAGCCCCGCACTTGATGAGATTTCATGAATCAGTTTCCCAAAAAAAGGAAATAGGCAGTAGTATATCAAAACAACACTTACCATGTGAGGTCCTGAATACGTCTACCTTCATTTATATGGTGTACCTGCAACAGTACCTTCATTTATATGGTGTACTTGGAACAGTTAACCCAGCTATGTACCCTTATAGCCAATTGGGTCAGACTATTCTAGGTGGTCAAGGTTATAATACGATGCAGGGCTATACAATGCCAGGTCATCAGATTGTGCAATTTGGTGGGCCCAGTGTCAATGCAATAACAACTTCGCCTATTCCCACAATTCATGCACAATATCCTACAGGCAAAGATATTTTTGACACATGAACCATACTCATACATCTCTACACATTTATATTTCTATTTAAATAACATCTGTTTTTGTAGAACTGGTATAAATTCATAATGATGCAAATTGTTGACACCTTTTTAGCACATATAGACAGATATAGTTGACAAAGAATGAAAAGTATGAATGGAGAGACAATTGAGATATCTTTTAAATGATATATTTATATGAGCATTATGTTGGAAAAATTAACGAGGCACGTGCTCCTGCTTTCAGGTATGGCTGCACCTATTCAAGTCCAACCACAGTTTATAGTTCCTGCTCATTCTCCTCAGTTCATGCAAGGTAGCGGTTCTGACCAAACAGCAGGGTGAGGGTTTAATCAAGGTGAGACCCTTTGGTAACACTCAATTCTGGGGATTAAATTCTTTATATTGTTTTGCTTGTCCTTTCCACCTGTATGATTTCTGGATGGATATTTTCGTTTTAATGTCATTTGCAGGTATCCTTAGATTGCAGCAGGACTAAGAGCATCGGTACTTCTACTTGAGTGGATTCACATTGTCACAAACCACCACCACCCCTCCCAACACACACACACACACACACGCTATGCAGCTCCTTTCAGTACATAAATGCATAACTGATGCAGGTGCTTGGAAAATGAAGCAATAGGGATTATGATGACAAGTCAACTGAAATTTATTTAAGATGTGATAAAAAATTAACAAACTTTGAGATAGTGTAAGCAAACTTTGAGAGAATAATTATACCTCCAGTCGAACTACTGAGAAAGGCTTTCGGCCTGTTCTATGATGTAATGTCTTCTTCTTCCGGATTTTTCTATTCTTCTTGCTTGATTTCTGTCAAATATGAAATTTATTTAAGATGTCATAAAAAATTATCATATATAAACATTTTTTCACATAAATAAAATTTTACCGATGCACTCTGAGTGCCCCAATAGTAGACCAAAGCCCGCCACTGATCCTCATGTACTCTATCTAGTCGATGAGCCAACCTTTCTGCATCATTCTTGAAGGGTTTGTATCCCATTGTTTTCACTCGACTTTTCCAATCTCTCCATTTCTTTCCAAATGAAGCCATTATTGTTCTCTTCATGGATTCATCTGCATCCGTATGAGCCTGCATTACAATTATAGACACTTGTAATGTGCAATGTCAACTACACTTATAATATGCATTTCATATGGAATACAATTGTAACTTATTTCATATTAAATATCCATATATACCTTTATCTCCCTCCATATGTTATCTTTGTTTTGTTTTGGAACATAATGCCAAGTCATAAAAGTGAGTGGTGCAAGACTCCCACCTCGTGCCAAAACGCCCAAATGTGAAGCAAGGGATGTGTGTCTTTCAACTACTTGATTCAACTCATTTGGCACAACTTTTAAAATGCCATCTTCACTAGTACCCCATTGACCATGCACATATGTGGGACCCCTTGTCTGCTTTTGTGTGGCTTGACTTGAGCTAGGACCTACAAAACAATAGTAGTAAGCTTCATATCAGTTTCTTTATGATGCAGTCAATTGGTCATTGAAGATGTAGTCAAGTGTAACATTAAGCTATAGCATACCTTTTATAGTAAACAAAAATCAAATAATATGCATTTCAAGCCCAATTTAACTGTGTTCTGAATTGCTGTTTTAATGCCTAACATAAGCTGCCAGCATTGTTTCAACTTTTTCAATTATTATGCCAAATTTCAACAAATTTCAGTTGAATATCTGAATTATGCTTTTAATTTCAACAAATTTCAACATATCATACCATGGGGTGTTAAAATTCTGCTATCCTTGCTTCTATACCACACATTATGCTTTTAATTATCCAAACTCAATTTTTTTAAAAATAACCATGCATTATGTATGATAGATAGGACTACAAATCTAACTCAAAAACACCATAAGAAAATATCAAGCAAAGTTGATACATACCAGCTGAAACAGAGCCATGTGATGTACTACCGCTACGTGATGTGGTAGGAAGACTGCCTGGTGGATGCCATGATGCCGGTGGATCGGGTATGACTTTCATCTTGAGTGTGGTCTGAGTCTCATCTGAACTAGAACTACTAGAGCTTGATTGCTCACTTTCACTAGAAGAATGGTCAAAGCTAGAACTCATAGATAATATTTATAAAAAAAACTACAAACATAAGAGTAAGGACATGATAATCTATAAATATCTACTGCATTCAAAACAAAATAAGAGTACATGAAAGGTAAAAATGGCCATTTAAAGAAAGGTACAAAGGTACAAAAGCAAAGATTTTATTAATATGAATATCCATACAGAAAACACAAATGTAAAAGTGAATATGCTGCCAATTACAATATCATATCAGTTCTTTAAATAATAAAAATAGTTTGGCTAAACCACTATTTTTACCTCAAGATAATACTTCAGCAAAAGTGCTAGTTTAATTCAAGCCTGTCCTAGAGTTGATGCAGTTATACCTAAGGAAACCAAGGAACTAACTTAAATAGGTCCACATATGCTGGTTGAGAATGTTTCTAGTTCTCAGCCTAGCTCTGTCACTACTCTTGTGATTCAATATGTTATTGTTGCAAAGCTTTGAATCTCATATCATTGAAGTCAGATGATGCGATCAATGTTTGACAGATGATTCCAATCACAAACAAAAGGGATTCATATATATGATATATAGCATTAAACATATGCAAAAGAATGTGAGCTGGAAATTTTCCAACAGAGAGTAATATCATCAAAATTGAATTGACTAATAGAAAAATAGAATTAATATCTCATTCTCCATAGTTTCTTCTTCTAAAAAAAGTAATGAAATAACTAGTGCCTGATGCCAATACAGTAATTCTTCATTTTTCCCAAAGACCACAAATAGAGCAAGAGAGAGAATTATTTCTAAACAGATAATAAAAGCTCCAACAGATAAAATATCAATGTTTTCAAGAGTGAGTGATTAATAAATCCAACTCTACCATTCTACAATATAATGAGCCAATTTCATTATTTCCAACTCAATTCCAAATAATAACAATTTTTCCAAATTAATTATACCAATTAATTTATACAACGGATTAGGGTTTCCTACCCCATTTCCCAATATAGACCTAAGAGTCCAAATATCAACAACCAACAACAATATCATTATTTTGAAACCCAAAATACACATTTTAGAATCAAAATAACAAACCCCCTTTTATACATTTTGAAACCCTAGATCTCAAAATCAAACCATTTAACAAAGTGCCCAAAAATCTAGGTTAAAACACATAAGAGTGAGTAGGAACCCCTACCTCAAAAGATAAACCCAACGAAGGAGATGACGAAAATGAAGATGCTCCAAATCACAAATTTCTCGGATCAAAAGATAGCCCTCGATGATCAACAACCTTTTTGTAAAGGCCAAAGGTGAGGAAACAACTCCTACTAAATCAATACCTAGAGAGAAGTGGAGGTTTTAGAAAGAGAAGCTCTCAAATGGCGTTTTTGAAAAGTAAGAGAGACAGTGAGGATGTAAAAGTGACTTGAAAATGCCCAACTGCTTTCTGATATACGACAGGTCCGCTCGAGCGGACAACACAACGCTCGAGCGTCAAGAACAAAATACTGAGTTCGCTCGAGCGCAAGAAGGCCCGCTCGAGCTCCAAGACACAAGAATAAAGTACATCCGCGCGAGCGTGAAAACCAGTCCGCTCGAGCGTAGATTTTCTCCTCCGAGAACTTACACCAAAAAAAATACTACCCGCTCGAGCTCCAACAAGCCCGCTCGAGCGCGACCCGCACGAGCGCAGGAAATCCGCTCGAGCATAGAGATCACACCTGTAGAAGTTTTGCAGAGCACGAAAGTACTGGGAGTGTGCAATCTCCGCTCAAGCTCTAGACGACCCGCTCGAGCGGAACGACCAAAAACCTGACAACAAGAAATTTGACCAAGGCTCAACCCACCTGCTCGAAACATGCCCAACACATCCTAAAACTCAATCAAATGGAATTAAAGGACGACAACAAGGTAGACACAACTACCAACACCACAGAACCAAGTCCGGAATACAACTGAACAGTAAAGGAAATACCGGAATCGCTATAGAATATGCGGCCAATTACAATATCATATCAGTTCTTCATCATCTTCAAATTGTGCCTCTGTCGATGCTTCAACAGGTCCAATAGTTTCATCAACAGTTGTTCCATCAATACCTTGCCTAACCCAATCCATGTCCTCCTCACAAGTGAAGGAAGCTACATCTAACTCTTGATCACCAAATCCTTCCACTTCGTTGTGATGTAGTCCTTCATCAATAGTTGGTTGTTCCTGCACAGCAGAATATATTGGTCCGAGCTCTCAATGGTGTGAATCAGGTTGCCAGCAAAATTGTTCCTGCACAGCCTATGCGTATAATGTCGGCAGGTGTTCTATATTGGAAGGAGCTTTGTTGAACTTACAAATCTTAGATGAGAACACTGCTAATCAAGGTTTCCATTTGAAGCTTGCTGCTTCTGAGCTTTCATCTGCTGGAGGTAATGAGTATATGTAATAGGGTACTCTTTTTTTTTTCCTTTTTTTTTCCTTCCTTATTTAGATCTTAAAAACACACAGATAGACTCATCATAATTATATTCTTACGAATTCAGGGAACAGAAGAAAATTATGGGTGATCATAACAGTTATCATTTCCCCGACTCTGCTTATTTCAATATTCTTTCTTTGCTATCTGTTGAAGAGGAAGCTCAAACAAAATGGTATGCATGTTTCATCCACTTATTTCAATGCAGATTCAAAGAAGTTACCAATGAATATTTATGCTCTGTTTGAGTAAGTGAAAAATATTAATCAGAGAGCTAGACAATCTTAAATGTTAATCCCGAATACAAGAGAGTAATATCATCAAAATTGAATTGACTAATAGAAAAATAGAATTAATATCTCATTCTCCATAGTTTCTTCTTCTAAAAAAAGTAATGAAATAACTAGTGCCTGATGCCAATACAGTAATTCTTCATTTTTCCCAAAGACCACAAATAGAGCAAGAGAGAGAGAGAGAGAGAGTACCGATTACAGTTCAGAAACAAAGTAGACTATTCACTGGAGGTTGAAATGCGAGTAATCGAGGGGTCAGAGTTCAGATCTGAATCTTCGAAATCGTTTCAATAGAGCTTCGAAATCGCAGGCGATGGAGCTTCGATCTGAATCTTCGATGAAGCTTAGATTTGAAACTTCGATGGAGCTTCGAAATCGCTTCGATGGAGCTTAGAGAGGGTTGAGAGAGAGTGAGAGAGAGAGATCTGTAACGCCCTCAAAATAACACATTAAACCCATCAATATAGACATGCATTGGTAATAAAGATAAACATTCTTCTATTCATCAGAGTAGTTCTTTACAAAAGTATTACATGTTAATCAACAAAAGCAAATGCCCTACGGGCTTACAGCTTTCCAAGTTAACACTTGGTTACAACAAAAGAGTGCTAACTCATTTACACATTAAGCCCTTGGCTTGAATATACATGTAACACAACAAAGAAACTAAACAACAAAAGTCTGCCCGCCTCTAGCCTCCCAAGCTACGTCCTTGGAGGTGGCATGCTACCTGTACCTGAAAATGATATTCCCATATAGGGTGAGCCACAGCCCAGTAGAAATACACTAAACCAAATATGAACAATGACTAAAAGATTAGCAGTTGATAGATGGCCAACACTGATACTTTCTCTTATCACACTTTACAGTTTCATGACATACAAGTCCATGTTACAATCAATTTTCCAATTCTTTTAAATTCTCAATTCAATAACCATGGCTCAGAACCTGGCCAAACAACTCATATGAGACAATAACTTCATATCAAGCACCTCTCATTACATAACAGATAAGCATACTAAACTATATCACATACTAACAGATAAGCATACAAGCTATATCATCACTTCCACAGATATGCATATGAGCACTATCACACTTCCAATGACAAGCATATGAGCTTGTCAACACATTACTAGATAAGCATATGAGCTCTATCTACGGAGTCCATCCCCTATCTCCTCCCAACAATATCCGATTTAGAGGTCCATCCCCTATCTTCCCCTAAACCGCGGAGTACATCCCCTATCTCCTCCAACACAACACAATGCATATAAACAATAATTATACACATCATCAACCAATACATAACATTAATGTATTCATTCAACCGTCATACTCAATGACCCATTCCGGTGATTAGTTTTAGTTTGCCTAATCATCATGCATTGTCTACAACAACCAAGACAATCCTCCACCGATAGCCCAAAGCAGTTATTTCTATACAGAAAATAAATGCAACAAATGGATATAAAATCGACATTTCCAACTAGGTGAGTGACATAAAATCCAACTACACCCTTTAATCCCATGTATTCCCAATCTTAACATTTCCAATTCAATTCTCATTTCTCACAATTAATTTTACAAATTAATTAACCAATGTAATAGGGCATTTTCCATAATTAACATTCCAACCCTTAGTTCCATTTTCATTAATGTTTTAACATTAATTCCACTTTTCTATGCCAAACATGCATCTAGCTGTTTATTATTAGTTAAAACCCCAACTTTGTAAATTTGCACAAAAGTCTCAAACTTTCACAAAATTACCAAACTAACTCCAACATCTCAAACTACTAAAATTTAAAGACAAAACCATATAAGGAGTAGGTTATCCCTACTCCAAAGATAACTCCCAACCGAGAAGACGAAGAAAACGGAAGTGCTCCAAACCACAAACTTTTTTGGATCAAAAGGTAGCCCTCGACGATCAACAACTCTTTTGTAAAGGCCAAAGGGGAGGCAAATCACTCATACTAGATCAAACCTAGAGAGAAGGTAGAGTCCTAGAGTGAGAAGCTCAACAATGGGTTTTTGGAAAAGTAAGAGAGAAAAGAGAAATGGAAAAAGTGATTGAAAAGTCAAAAACACGGAGCTTTAACCCAGTCGCCCCGCTCAAGCGTCCAACGCCCGCTCGAGCGTCACTCACAGACCCCGTTCGCAGCGTCAACAATCCCGCTCGAGCGGCGAATACACACTTCCAGAACTTTTACAGAACCAGGTCTCCGCCGAGCGCAACCCCTCCCGCTCGAGCGTCACACACAACAACCCGCTCGGTGCGTCAAACTCCCGCTCGAGCGTACAA